TTTACTACTGGTGGTTGGCTTTGGTCGCAGTACCGCCACCTTCTGCTCTGGAGTGTAAACGCTTCGCCTATGAGAAAAAGGAGCAGCGAACACACGCGAACCGAACCGAGACAGTCGAACCGAACGGTTCGGACGGTTTTCATAAACCGTTCCATCCCTAGTAAAACCATATAAAAAAGGACTATAAAACAGGAGTAAAAGAGTAACAGCGTTTATTCCAGGTTAGGTCATAACAGAGAAAATGCTTCGAGCTTGCACAGCTGTGGGCTCAAAAAACATCAGCGAGCGTCCTGCAAAGATTAAGCAAAGATTGAGCCCAAAACAAGGTCATCTCCTCCTTCTTATCCCCCATGAATCCATGTTTTGCATCAGGTGGATGCTCAGCTGTCCGTATCACAAACTGACACGCCATCCATGCTTTGAACTTCATGCATCTTGCCTCTTTACCCCAGGATTACACATAGCTCTCCTTTATCAGTCCGGCTCCAAGATGTGCCCATTTCCTGTGTATTTCTAAAGACACGCAGGCTGTTCTGATTAGATGACCTCCGTACAAACAGTGACACCAACCATGTGAAGGAAGGCCTTCTACTCTGTCTAATCTGGCTAACAGAATAACAATGCACATGATGTTTAAAGAATAAACCTAACAACTCCCCCTGAGAAATTACCGTTTTTACAGGTAACTTAAAACACAGTAGGGGACAACTTATCCAACGTGTGCCAGTGTTTTTTCCAGATTTTTCGTACATCAGGCATAAGCTGGTCTAAATCGTCATGGTGTGACGGGCTTTATTCCAAAAAAGTTAATAAACAAGCTACTGGGCTTTGTTTCCAAGTTTGAAGACGTTTCTCTTCCCATCCTGGAAGCTTTTTCAATTCAAAATGTCAGGAAAAGCGTTGAGTTCGAGCTTTATACAGTAGCCAAAAAGCCTTGTTTTAGTTTATAGAACCTGCAAATTCAACCAGACGAACGGCTCCGCCCCTTTGGAATGGGGGGGATAAATGTGTTTCTGCTGCCTTTAAACATGGACAAATTGAGTTGGATGTTATCCTCCCCAATAGAAACTGCAGCCCATTTTTGAAACAAAAAAATCCGTAAATGCAGTTTTGTGTTTTATTATCACATAGAATCTTAAAGATAATCCTATTGTGAGAACTCAGCTCTGTGCTGTTCAACCTGATGTAGGTTTTTATTTGGCCAGTACAGACCAGAGGAAGCAGGCCTGATTTTTTTTGTTGTTGTTTCTCTGCAGCAAACTACATGGAGAACTGGAAGTGCACGGGCATCCTGAAGGGGGACGGCAGCCAGCTGACGGGCTCGTCCGGTCAGCCCATGGCCCTGAGCACGGTGGTGGGCTCCTCTGTTCAGAACTCCCAGAACATCCTGAATGGGATGGCAGCAGGAAGGTAGGTGGTGTCGTGTGTCTGACGCCACTCACCCGGTCCGAGACCAGCCTGCTAGAACTGCTAACCTAACTGTGCCTCACACTGACTTGGAGTGCAGCTGACCACTTACCCAGCGCTGCCCTGAGGAGCTTCCATCCTGTCAGGATCGGTTCCATGGAGCTGCTCTGTGCCGCTTTGGCTTCTTCTTAGTTTATCCTGATGCATGTGATGAGTGGCGGTATTTACCCCCATTTTTTTCCAGTGTTGAGGACTAATTGTTTGCCCCATTATTAACGAAGAGCAAAATAAATGCGTTTGTATACATTTGATTTGTGACCATTTTTTCTGCCACTGTCAGCAAAATGAATGAACTTCATGAAGTTATTGTTTCTTTCACCTCCCGGGGGATGCTGTCCATTATGAGCTCAACAAAAACACTCCAAGTTCTCCTCATTTGTCTTTCCTGATGAACACATTGTTGGGCACGTTTTCCAAAAGAGAAAGGAGCTTTAATTAATCCTTTTAACCAACTTTAAACACAGGAATGTGAGTTTGAATAAAGCTGTTTACATTTTCAAAATGGCCGACATTCTTCATTTACACACATTTAGCTTTTAAGCAATGAAAACTCTTCATTCATTTTGCTCACGAATGTTACCATAATCACCTTTTTTTACATTTCTATGGTTAAAACCAGTTTTATTACTTGGGGAATAATAACTTAGGATCTCACCAATAGAAAAGCATGAATGCCAGAAAGAAAATGTTTGATTATGATTTCAGTCTAGCAGCATACCAGTAGACCTGTGGTGGTATTTATGTTAAACTTAGCAGATGTTTACGCTGCTAAAATCATTTTAACAAAGTTTTACGTTTTGGGAAC